CCCCCCCCCATCCGAAGCAGAAAAAAAGACCTTTAAAAATGTGTCCCCCAACACTTTTAAGATGGTGATTATGCCCTTGCAGCATACCCCTCCTTCAAGAAACTGAAAGCATCCCATGTAACTCAACCCACAAAGGTTCACACGAACAGTTTTTAGCCAAACATAAAGAAATTAACAAACAGATGTCACTCTTTGTTTAACTGACACACAAATCAATATTCACACACTGTTTGTGTGGTTAATATGTGCATGTAGCCTCATCTGATCTAATAAAAATAATTCAGTTTCCTTTGCTTTCCAGCTTCGTGTTCCTTATTCCCTCATCCCTCAAAGAATGACCACACCATTGGTGGATGTGGTCCTTGGCCCAGCCTGATGCATTTTTAAAATGCGTGACATTGCCTCTGTGGGAGTGTGTGAACCAAGCTTCCTCAATAGTAGGGTCCCCATACCCGGTCTGTGACCATGGAAACAGATGCCTGGCCTCCCGGCCCTTCTTACCTCCTGTTGATCGTGGGCTGTGAGCTGCTCGGCCAGTGAAAGGGGGCTGCGCCCTCCTTTCTCCTCGCTCTGACTGAACTTGCCCTGATCCTCAAAAGGAACCATTGAACAGGTCTAGACTTTCTTTGCACGGTCCATGGAGAAGCCTTGATGTTACCCTTGCTCTTCTTTCTCTCTTCCTTTTTCTGTCTGCCTGCCACACCAGGCGCCCAGTGACTGCAGACTCCAGATGGGTAGGGACACTGGAGACTTGGATTTGAAAAGGAGCCCATCTCATTTTGCCATTGTGCCTTTTCATTCATCGATCACATGAATATCGAACCTTCTGTGTGAAACTGAAAGTTCAGGTTCATGTTTGAGGCCCAGAGCTAAAACTGCTTGTGAGTGTTGTTTTTAATAAAAAAACCTAACTTCCCACTGAACAGTTGCTAATTGTTTTATTCTGATGTGACCTAATATTTTGTGAAAATGCAGAAAAATGTAATTTTATCCCTTAATTAAATACATTTAGTTTGTAATTTTTATAATGTGTGAAATACGAGTGCGTCAAATTCTGCAAGGGTCTAAGTTTTTTAAAAATCTGTCTGAGCTGCAGATACATTATAAAAGATGTGAAGCAAAGAAACAATTTAATCCTGCAAATCATAATGTGAAAATAGGTTTGTACTAATTATATAGAAAACTATATCTTCATTTCATATTAAACTTTTGAAATAATGAGAAAAGTAAGATTGACTGTAAAGCTCTGCCTGTCGGTTTGCACGACATAAATTAGCTTACACTGCTTTTTTGTAAATATACAATATCTACATTTAAAATATACAGCTTTTGCTTTCAGCAACGTGATTATGATTGTTTGTAGGTGGAGAAAATATCAGTTTGTGAAAAATACTTTGCTCACACACTGACCTCCTGCTTTAAATGAATCTATGAGTGTCTGATGAGCTGAGATCCAGAAGTGTTGAGAAAGCTTCAGTTGAATTATCAGTGTCAACACATCAACACTAATCCCTCTGATAAATGTGACAATCATCTGTTTTCTTCCTCTTATCCGGGGTCAGGTCTCGGGGGCAGCAGCCTCAGCAGACAGACCCAGACTTCCCTCTCCCCAATCACTTGGACCAGCTCCTCTGGGGGAATCCCAAGGTGTTCCCAGGCCAGCTGAGAAACATAGTCCCTCCAGTGTGTCCTGGGTCTTCCTCTGGGCCTCCTCCCAGTGGGACGTGTCCAGAACACCTCACCAGGGAGGAGTGGACCAGGTGGAGCTACCAGCACAGGTGAAGTCAATAACATGTAGAGTAGAGCCACTGCCCCTCTGTATCAAAACGAGTCAGTTAAAGGAGACCAATTATGGGTCCTAGAAATGTTTATGGTNTGTATGCCAAAGCGCCGCCGTGCGCCCAGCCCTACACGCCTGTGTGCCAAAGCGCGCACACACGCTTCTCCAAGCTGCTTGAGAAAGAAAAAAAAGAAAAGGGGGGGGCCTCCGCGCGCCCGAGCAGCTCGCCCGCACGCCAGAGCGCGTTCGTGCGTCTCCACTCGCGTTACATGTGTGACCACAGAACCGCTGTGGACACCTGTTTAAGAGTTTGCTAAAAAGGAGTCAAAGCAGACCTCCTCCTGAGTTAAAGTC